TATTTTTTTAAAAGATAGGACAGAAAGTGACTTCTATACTTTTAAAATTTGCCCAAAATTTAGGAGGTCTTTAGACCAAGCCAACTATATTATTGTTAGTGCATTTGGAATGAAACAAAAAGACCTTGAAACAGAAATTGGTAAAGAATATTTTCAACACATAAAATTAATCCATTTCTATGGACATCAAAATTGGAAGAATACACTGAGGTGAGTATCTTTTTCATAACATAGTTTTATATAATAATATTAATTATTGTTACCTTCCCCACACACACATATATAAAAGAAAATGGAGATGAATTCAAAAAGGCACTACAAATACCAGAAACAAGCTTTTTCATCTGTATTGTGAAAAAATTTTCATTGATTTGTAAGTTTGCTTTTTATGTGTTTGTCAATTACAGTGAAGGGTTATTTTAACATTAATAAAAATTTCCTTTTCTCTTTTTCATGTACAAAAGTTATCATATTACATCCCAAATGTAGATCAATCTTTCTACCCTGCTTTCCTAACCAATAAGCATATAGTGTAACAAAAGGCTTGCTGATCACTCACAAATCCTATATAGGTTCTTATTGATTGGGAGACAGAATGCCATGGGTGTACAAAGTAGTTTGGATTTGGGAATTTTTTGACAGGTTGGCCCAAATTCACTTTGTACATTTGGGATTTGGGCAGCATGTATAGTCCATATTGCAGAATAATTTGAATTGTAGTATTGACTTGGCAACAAAGATCAAAGTTTTTGTGCACAAGCAATCAGTAAGTGACATTGTTTGTGATTACAATATGTATGTTTAAAACTCACAATCTTATTATTGTTATTGTCTTTTCCTAAGGTACTTGCCTCACACTTTATGCATTGAGTATGCTCCCAGATGGCCGGTTTCTTGCCACAGAGCTGACCTCTGCTATTATACTCTTCTCCTGGGGTGGCCATAGCAAATACAAAGCAATTTTACTAATGATGTCAATTTTCCATGTATGTGTTCAAGTCACCTTGTATAATTTTTTTCTTTTTATATTCATTCAAATTAATTTATGCAAAATTCTTGATACATACATATATATATGAATATATTTTCTGTTATGTTTTTAGGATGAGCATACCAAGCAGGAAGAATTAATGGAGAAAATTAGCTTATGTTCATTACCAACAAATGGAATAACAGTTTGTCAAGTATTGAGATTGCCAGCAGAGGTGTTAAAGAGTTAAAAAATTTTATTTTTTTTACAAAAATTTAAATTTTGATTTGTAAATCTTACTCAGAGGGTGAGATTTATTTTTAATAGTAAAATAAATCTTAAATTTTGATTGACAAATTTATGAGGGCAGATCAGTTAATGAAATAGTAATAAAATAATAAATAAATAAATAATATAAATAATAATAAATCTATAACATTACAGCCAAACCTTGTCACAGTGGATAAACAAGACACATAAAAAATTTTATTCAAAATCTGTTGTGGCAAGGTTATTAATTTTGCCACAACAGATTTTGATGTTTTTATATTAATATGTGAAGCAAAATTTATGAAAATCCATTGTGTCAAGAATTTAATTATAGTCTGCTGTGGGTTTGACTATATATTTAATCTAAAATTTTTAAACTGAATTTTCAAGTTTACCTATTTATCATTTGAAGTATTTTTTTTGCATCAGCAATACCATTTTTTGCAGCTTCTTTAAGATAAGATATTGCTCGATCTTTATCTACTTCAACATTGTATCTACCATTATAATAAATTTTTCCTAGGTCAAACATAGCAGCTGGAATTCCATTCATAGCAGCCATTTCAAAATATTCAACACATTCTTTAGCAATAGATAAATCATTATCAGCATTCTTTTTTATTAATTTTGCATAGAAAAATTGTGCATCACCAATATCATCATCAGCTGCCTCTTTAAGTAATTTTTGTGCTTCTTCCAAATTTATGTCAACACCAGCATACCCACGTGTTAAATAATAAGCTTTCCAATACTTTGCTAGAGGACTGTTTAAAACATCTGCATGGTATTCAAAACACTTCCATGCTTTTTTTCTTGAATCTGTAGTATTCTGCTTGTGAAATATTATACCTTCTTCCAAAGGTATAGAATTTTTTGATATAGCCTCTGTTGATGATTCTTCACAACTAACATTACAATCATCATCATCAT